CTTATCTGTCCCGTCGCGGCCCTGTCCGCGTCGAATCCGTGTCGAATCCATGTGTGACGCGTCGGATCCGTGTCGAATCCGTGTCGAATCCGCGTCGAATCCACGCCAAATCCGCGTCGAGTCCGCATCGAGCACGCGTCGGGCCCCCAAAAAGACACCAACTTTTGGGACAGGCGAGGTCCCCCGAAGATGCAACATAATGAATGTGACCTGCCCACATCAGCCTGAGGCGCACTGCATGGGCAGGCTGGAATCACCTGTAAGCTATAACAGGGGGGTGAATTCGTCAATGTCGACGAAGACACCCTCCTTATCAGAGTGCAGGCCTTTAGGGAGACGGCGCATTAGGTCGGGCATGTCCCCCTACAGGCGGATTTTGGACGGAACAATAATATGTGTTCAATGGTCGAACATAATCAACAAATCCTCCCCAGGCAACGTTTTTTACTAGTTTTGAATATCCCCCTGTAGAGAGAAAGGCCCGACTTAATTTTAGCAAGGGGCCCCGATCCGGCAAGGGTTCGGAAACGGCCTTGCTGCGACGGCTCCGGAAGCCAGACCGCCAGGGCTGCAGGGGAGGAGGAGGAGGGGAGTGCGGGTTTCTGTGATCTTCTAAGGGGTCCCCACCCTCTCAGAACAGACCCTGCTGCATGCACCGCCCCTCCTCCCCGAGGCCACAACTCTTCGGTAAGCATGACAGGTTCTAACGCCCCCGATGCCCAGATGCCTCCGGGACGGCCGATGATCTCTCTAACACGGGCCACTGAGGCCTCCGGACTTCCCAAAATGGCTTCAAGACTGCCCACGAGGCCTTCGAAGCGTCCCCAGAGAGCTCCGAGAGCCGTCCCAAGACGGCCTCGAGGGGCACAAAGCATCGACTCCTCGAGGTGTGTTAACACTTCTCGGAATCTCGCCTTTTCGAGCCGAAAGGCTCCCAAAACGCCCCAAGGCGGCCCAAGAGGGCTCGAGGCCGGCCCGAGGAGGCGCCCAAGACTGCCCATGAAGGCCCCAAGAAGGGCCCAAGCGGGCGAGCACGAAGCGAGAATCCGAGCCTTCCGCCCCAAGAGGGCTCCGGATGCTCCAAGAGGGCCGAAGGAGGCCCCCCGAGAGGCCCCCGAGGGGCGAAAACCATTGATTTTCCGTCGGTGTTTCAATGTGTGTTGGCTTGTCGCCGTTTCGAGCTTCTGGAGCTCCAAGACGGCCACAGAGGCCCTGAGTATTCCCCTGAGAAGGCCCAAGAGGCCCCCACGTGAGCTCCAAGAAAGCCCGGCCAAAGAGGCGCCCAAGACTGCCTACGAGGGCCCCAAGAAGGGCACAAGAGCGGGAAGATGAACCAAGCATTCGAGCCGTCTGCCCCAAGAGGCTCTCAGCAGGCACCGTTGCCTTCTCGAACAGCTGCCACCGAGCATGCTGCGCTGGCACGGTGGCGGAATTGCTGGAGGCAGCTGGATATATGTATATGTGTATATACTTGTACATGTACACAAGACTGCCTTGGAGCTTCGCGCCACGCACCTTGGTCCTGCGAGCTTCGTATATGTTGGCGCTTGGCGTCATCCTCTTTGGCCTTTGAAATGTGGCCCTTTCTTGTCAAATACCCTTACCCGCTCCATATTTGTTTGCTCTCGCCCACTCGCCCTCGATTCACATGTTCGTGCGCCGTCCGACTTTGTCTTTGAGGTGCGTTTTGATTCGAATTTCGAGGCGGGACCGATGACGTGGCGACGAAAAAGCCACATGGAGGCTCCGACAAAAGATTGAACCAACATCGCGTGCCTTATTCGTCGGATCCTGCGCCGGAAGGTGACGTAACGGCCTGCGCGTCGACTTTTGACACCGCTTGGATCGTTCAGCCGTCGTGTGGCCCAAATACTGGTTCGCTCGTGGCCAAGGCTGTCAAGGTGCGCAATGAGAAGCAATGGTAAGCCATGCGAACGAGTGCCAAACAAAGACACGCACTGCCAAGCAATGCCACATAATACCAAGCAATGCAATGTCAAGCAATGTCGCCTCGACTTTGGACATACACCGAAACCTGGGTTCGCCATGGACTTCTGGGGAGTTCCATTGCAAGCCCAGGAGTCGGGTCAGTTTGGTGTACTTCGTCGGAAGACGCCTTCTGGAAGACGCACGATTATTCACACGAATGGAATTCGGGGTCCTTCACTTGGCCACCACACGGGCTCGCTCGTGGCCCAAGTTGCCTGGCCGCGCAATGCAAGGCATTGGGAAGCAACGCCCTATCGTTCCACATCGTTCCTCTTATTGACCCTCGCTCTCGCCTGGCGTTGTGAACCATTTCCTATCTGCAGCAGGTTTTTGTTTGCGGAAGTTCCTCGTTGGAGAACCTCGTGGGGGCCTCACGAATACCCCACAAGGGTTCTGGGAATCTCTGGAGGCCTCCTGGACGCCTCTCTGGGCCGTCTTGGGGGTCCTTTTAAAATCCGTTTGGGATGTCTTGGGTCCCTCTTGGGCCGTGCTGGGGCCTTCTTGGGGCCGTCTTGGGCCCTCCTGAGGACCTCCCATGGCCCTTGTGGGTCTCTCTTGGGAGCCGTTGCGGGCCTCGTGAGCTTCTTTTGGGTCTTCTTGGGGAAGTCTTGGGGCCCTCGTGGGCTGTCTTAAATTCCTATGAGGGGCCTCTTGGGCCGCCTTGGGGCGATCTCGGAGGCTACTTGGGCCGTCTTGAAGGCTGCTACGACACAAAAAACGAATATGCTGAAAATGCAAGATATACGGAGGGATCATCAGATTTGTTCTTCTTGGGGGTCCTCCTCAAAGCCTCTTGAGGCGTCGTGGGGGCATCTTGTGCCGTCTAGCGGGGCCTCGTGGGTCGTCTTGAGGCCTTCTGGCGCTGTCTTGGGGCTCTCCGGCGCCTCTTCAACCACTTCTCTGATCGCTTTGGGTCTGCTGGGCAAGGCTCGGCAAGGTGCGCTGGGAAGCGCGCCAGGGCGGCTGGGAGACCTTTTCGAAGGGCGTCCATGGGGGCCCCAAACCACGAATCCCGTGGGTTTGGTGTTTTTTCTGGCGGGGGGGCGGTTCTTCCCGCCCTCCCGGCCTGCACTAACATAGACGCATAAATAACTGTCAGCTAGTGATGCGTCCTCTCATTTCTTGTCCTTGTACTCCTCCTCCAGCTATCCTGCTCCTGGCAACTTGTTTCTCGCCCTCTCCTAGCAACTGTTTCTTGTCCTTGTCCTCCTCCAGCTATCCTGCTCTCCACTCCTCCTCGCAAGAACCCCTCCTCCGAGCTCCCCATCCACCACCCTTCACTCATTCCATGCTGTCCTCTTCATTGGGCAGGGACCGACCGTCCCGGTATTCCTCAAGGCCTACCAAGAAATGTTCCCAGAACCCAAAAATATTGCAAGAACAAAAACAATGTTCAGAACATGAAGCCGATGTGTTAAGACAAGACAGTCCCAGCTAGAAATGTTCTAAGAACATGTCGTGGAAACCACAGAAAAAAAAGGTTCTTAGAACATTTTTTGGTAGGCCTATAAGCACGCAAAGACGCTTCGCCACTGCTTGACTGTATGGACAAGCCAGTCCTACCAAGCCCCCTTCTGGCCTTCGAATTCCCATCGCACCCAGCGCTTCTACCAATTCATACAGCCCGCTTTGGGGCATGTGCAAATCGGAAAGAGCGTGTACCGCTGCTGGCGGAAAACCCGGGGGAGTCACTACCGGTTCGAACCCCTCCCCCCCCCCCCTCCGGAAAACCGGGGGGGGTCACTACTGGTTCGAACCCCTCCCCCCCCCCCCCCCCCCCAGCTCATCATGAAAAGGGGGGGGTCACTACCGGTTCGAACCCCTCCCCCCCCCCCCCCCCCCGGAAAACAGGGGGGGTCACTACCAGTTCGACCCCCCCCCCCTCGAAAACCGAGTGGGGGTGCGGACAGTGGTGGGGACGGTGTTGGTGGGGACAGTGGTGAGGGGATAGCGGGACAGTGGTGGGGACAGTGAGACAGTGGGACAGTGGTGGGGATGGTAGTGGTGGGGACAGTGGTGGGGACAATGGTGGGAACAGCGGGGGACAGTGGACAGTGGTGGTCACGGTGGTGGTGGGGACAGTGGTGTGGGGACAATGGGAATGAGGTGGAAACAGTGGGACAGTGGAGGGTACAATGGTGGTGGGGACAATGGTGAAGGCGGTGGCGAGGACGGCGGTGGGACAATGGGACAGAGGTACAGTGGGGACAGTGGTGGGGACAGTGGGGACAGTGGTGGGAACAGTGGGACAGCTCAGTGGGACAGCGGAGGAGTCAGTGGGACAGTGGGGACAGTGGGGATAGTCGGGCAGTGGTTGGGGCCGTGGAGACAGTGGGGAGAGTGGAACCGTGGTGGGAACAGTTCTGGGGACAGCGGGGACAGTGCGACAGTGGTGGGGCACTGGTGGGGACAGTAGGGGCGGTGGTGGAACCAGTGGGGACAGTGGTGGTGAGGACAGTGGTGCTGGGAACACCACTGGGGGATGTGATGCGGACGGTGGTGGGGACCGGGAGTCGTTTGCTGGCGGTGAATAGGGGGGGGGGGGGGTTCGAACCGGTAGTGACCCCCTTCGGTTTTCCCCGGATCCGAAGGGTAAGGGGGGGGGGAGGGGTTCGAACCGGTAGTGACCCCCCTCGGTTTTCCGGATCTGGAGGGGGGGGAGGGGGAGGGGTTCGAACCGGTAGTGACCCCCCCCCGGTTTTCGAGCGGGAAAAAGGGGGGGGGGGGGGGAGAGGGGGGTTTTGCCGGGGGAAATGGGGGGGGGGGTGGGGGAGGGTTCCAGCAGGGGGGGGGGTTTTTCGGAGGGGGGGGGGGGGGGGGCGACCCCCGGGTTCCGGAGGAAAAGGTGGGCAATTTTCCACAGTAAAGCGGCGGTGGATCACGCTCTCTCGCAAATCGGCAACCAAACCTCGTGATATCTAGACGACCGGTGACCCATCAAACTCCACATCCAAACACAATGACAACGTCACGAAAGACTTGGACAACGTGTGCACCCCCCGGCACCCCTCCGAGCAAAAAATAGTCCCGGAAACACAAATGTCAGAGCGCCGCCACACAAACCGCCAGTCACGCTGAACACGATGGATATGTTCGGAACCAGTACACCTTCCCAATTAATACCAGACGTAGCAACAATACTTATCCGCAAGTGAGCTGGAACAGATCAAAACAAAAGGGTGTAGACATGCAAAAGAAGACACCAAACGAGAGCGCCAGTACGGAACGTCCAATGATAGCGAGAATTATCAGCCCAAGATAAGACATGAGGAATGAACTCCAAACAAGAACACGCGCTGTAACACTCCACATGCAAACAACCCTGGAAATTCGACAACGATCATGCGCCTTCCCTCTGCTGAGACGACAACGAATATGGTCGATAATGGTGTGAGGAAATCGCTGCTTTCCGCGCACTTGGTCAAACCGAACACCAAGGCCAAAACATCGCATGCTCACCAAGATATCCGAGTGAAACGAGGGTGCTGACGTAGTCACAGTGCAGACCGGAGGTCCACAGAACTCCCCAATAATTACATCTTGCAAAGAACATATTGAAACACAAACGCTCCAACACACCGAAAACAAACATGAATTGAAAACAACCGTGAGAGCCACACCTCAGGAGTAGAAACTTGCAAAGAAGTCACCCAGGAACAGCGTCGAACCGCATTTGAAGCGGACTGAAAAGCTTGCAATATCGGTTCTGCCCCTCCCGAATCCGTCGACCTCCTCGCTGAGCCGCCCAGCTGGGCGGCTGCAGTTGTCTCTGCAAGCAGCACCGGCATGTCAAAAGTTCGCGCAGATTGGTCGCACCAGACCGTCGATGTACGCATGGCTCTGGCAAAATTGCAAATTTGTCTCTGTATGGTAATGCATGGTGCGCTCTTACTCCAATACTGGAGGTGCTGGAACATGACTCCACGCAATGAGGTTGAAAATTGTGACTGCCCGCGCAAGTCCCGACTGCCTGGGAATGATGTATGGCCTGTTTGTTTGATGTGCCCACTTTCGTGGTTTTGCTTTGCTCACCATTCGTCGCTTCGAAACAGTCGTCGATCTCGTGCTGCCAGAACGGCTCCCGATATTCCCCAGGGCCACGAACGCCGCAAGACGGTAATGGAAATGATACGAGGGGACCGAAGCGCGACCATGTTCGCGCCCTCGACACTGGTGTACGCCAAATTCCTGTCATGATGGCGTGGGCTTCGGTTGCCGCCAACGCGTGAATCTTACAACCTCGGCGAGCATGCAGCGGCAGAAGGTCCCAAAACGGCAGAGAGCGCCCAAAGACGCCGACGCCGCCCAGGGCCCTCCGTCTCGAAGGCCCGCGCACGCGCCGCCGCCACACCGGGACGGCGGGAACCTGCCGTAGCCTACCGAGCGCTAGCGCACAATGCCTTCCCCAGCCTCCACCCCTCCCCTCCCGGCCTGCTGCGGTGGCTGCCGTCACGATGGTTAGCACCTCGAGGCGGCGTGTGCCTGAGCCCTCCCCCCTCGCCCCGTGCCCACCCGCACTCCTCGGCCAGGGACACGCGGCCGCGGAAAGAGATCAAACCACCACAATGGGAAGGAATGGGAGGGAGGGATAGCATGCAAGATACGGCGCGAGTGCGCCTAGCTTGACTCTCCCCCTTCTGCTCCTACATCGCCTGCGGTCCCATCTCCCTCGTGTTTCTCCTGCTCTTACCCCATCGCTCCTCCCTGTAGCCCCTCCTCCGACCTAACCTCCTCCCCCCATCCCTCCGCACTCCTCACCCACTCCTCATCCACTCCTCTCCTCCCAACCCCGTCCCCTCCCCCTCACCCTCTCTTCCCCTCCCCCAATCATTCCCCTCCGCTCCCATGCCTACCCCCCTCCTCGCAGACTTACCCCCCCCCTTTCCCTCCATGCGCGGCCCCACATGCCGCTCCAGCATGTCACCGCCGTCCTCTTCCCATCCCCAACGTTCCCGCATCTCCATCTGTTGCGCATCCCCATCCACGCGCGCGCGCGTATAAGGCATAGTGGGACTGACGCGCCCGCAAGACCGCAGCAACACCTCCCCCTCCCTCCGCCCCTGCACTCCTCCTGCTCCCGTGCGTCCCGCAATCCCTGTCAGCCTGCCTCTCTCGTCTCTCCCAGATTGACCCCCTCTCTCCCCTCCACAGCTCACCTCCCCCTTCTTCATCTACACCGTCCCTACTCTTCTATGTGTCCCTTGACCATCCTCGCCCAATCCCCTATCCTGCCTTCTTTCCGCCCCCTCTTCCCCTGATGACCCAACCAACGGCATACCGAGTGGCCGGTACTACCCGAGGCGCAGGATTTTGATGTGTAATCAGCGAGGTCAGAATGCGAGCATCATAGCTGCACGTAGGTGTAGCCTTCAAATGCGGTTACATGCTGTATGCAAGCAGGCCCATACGGCCCTGTACTGGGATCCAATCGACAATGCTGCTAGATAAGGAGCACCTTCCCAATTCAACCCGACGCTCTTCTATCATCGGTGCGCAATGGACGCACACAAGCAAATAAACACATGGAAATAGACCTGCACGCACACACACACACACACACACGCACACACGCACACACACAGACACACACACACAAACAAAAACACACGCACACGCACACGCACACGCAGACGCACACACACACACTCTCACACGCACACGCACACGCATACACACATACACGCACACGCACACGCACACGCACACACGCACACACACACACACACGCACACGCACACGCGCACACACACACATACACACACACACACACACACACACACACACACGCGCGCGAGCGCACGCACACACGCAGGAGTGCATACGAACATTCATTATCTGCCGACCAAAAACAAGGGACACACAATATACTGTTTCAAGGAAAACCACTTCCATGGCACGCCGTGCCTACGATCTGCCCAGCGGCCTCCCCCTCCACTGAACATACACGAGATGAACCCAGGGGCCGGGGATCGTGACCGTCACCGAACAACGCCCCCCCCCCGCCCACACACCAACACACGCACACACACGCACACGCACACGCACATACACACACACACACATACTCACGCACGCACGCACGCACACACGGACACAATCACACACGCACGCAAACACACACAACACACACACACACACACACACGCGCTCACGAGCAACCGGGCGAATGCACGCAGCCACACGGCACGAGGCGATGAAAGCCGAGCGCGTGCTCCAGGCACGGCCCACGGCCCACGGGAGGTCCGCGCGGCAAGAAAGAGGCAGGCCGGCGCCGCCCCCCCCCTCCCTCGCTCGGGGGCTCGGCGAGGCGGCCGAGCTCCGCCGCTGGCGCCTCGTCGGGAGAGGGGGGGCCCAGGGGGCGCCCTTCCCCTGCCTCGTGATGAGCTCCCTCCTGTAGGGGGCAAACAAACCTACCTCGCTTTTGACCACCCTCGCTTCCAAGAGATACCAAGCGATGCCAAACTACGGCCTGTACTGGTCAGGCCGCTTGACGAGGAGGCGCGTGGTATGGCTTGGTTTTGCCTGGAAGCGAAAGCGGGGGAGGTAATTCACGCTCTGATCCTGAGCCTCCGGATCCCCTGCTCCTGCTTGACTGCCTACCAGACCACCCCGACCTTACCCGAAGACCCCAACTCGGGGTTGGGGGGGGGGCACGGGTTCCAGGTGCTTTCTCCCTGTTCCCCTCCCCTACCTCCCCCACTGTTCATGGAAGGCAAATTGAGGCCTTCGGGTTGGCACCTGACGAGTGGTCGCCTGGATCCGAGAGAGCGATCTGTGAGGGCATCTGGACCGCCCTGCAGAGACAGCCGCATGCATGCCGCCGCATCGTAGACCCTCGCCGCAGGGGGTCTCCCGCGGCAGACGCCCCCACGGGGAAGAGGACGGCGCACCTGCCAAAGCGGCTCTAACCTCGTCTTATTCAGGGCGCATATGGGGGCACCGCAAGCACTGCAGGTCGCCGGAACACCTCCGCGCGATCCCCACCTTGCCCGCCGCAAGGATATGGCCGGTGCAGCCGTGCACCCCAGCATTATGTCGGGCGTGTCCCCCTACAGGGGGATGTTCGACGAGAAACAAAAGATACCCCAAACATACCCCGAGAAGGTCCAGACATACTCAAAAAATAGCCCCCAGACTGTTCTTGGACTATTCTTTCGCTATGTTTGGGGTATTCTTTACTCTTCGTCGAAGATCCCCCTGTATGGGGGACAGGCCCGACATAACTCGGGGATCTTCTGACCCGGGTCAATCCAGACCCGGGTCAGCAGGAAACCAAAAACTGCAATGCAGGAAAAAAAAACTGCAACGCAGGTCCTCGCAAACCCGGGTCGGCCAATATGTGCGGCCGCCCGGCGGCCACGAGCGGCTCCCAAACCCGGGTCAGCCCGAGGGGGTCTTCGCAGGATCCTGCAGGATCTGGCGCCCTGGCTGACCCCCGTTTGCATTGACCCCCGTCTCGAGGCTCCCGACATAGCCCCAGCAGCGCTCCACCGGCGGCGCCGCAGAGCACACCTCGCCCGACGAGCCGCCGCCCCCGCCGCCACGGACATGAAGGGGCCCTGGGACACACACACACACACACACACACACGCACACACACACACACACACACGCACACACACACACACACATTCACAAAAAAAAAAAATACACGCAAATCACAGGAGTCCCCTATTATTTTCCCATGTTTTCTGGGTTTCCGTCTTCCCCCCCACTCCCCATATTTTCCTATATATTTTTTGTGGCAAATCGACGATTACTTGTGTCTGTGTGTGTGTTTTTCCCCTCCTGAGGACAGCAGCAGCCCCTGCCAGCCACAGCACCCTCGCCGCAGGCGGCCGCGCGCGGCCCCGCGCAGCTGGCACTGCGAAGGGCGCCCAGCGGCCGTCCGCCGTGCCTTCCAGGACAGCCGGACGCGCCTCGGCTTCAGAACAGATGCGGGCAGTAGTTATATCCACATCCAGCGCGTCTTGGAGTCTTGGGCTCTCTTCCCCAGAAACCGTAGACGCACTTGGTATGGATAAAAATCTGGCCCCAAGAGCCTTGAGTTTATCCATATCCAGTGCGCCTCGGCGTTGCGGCACCTCTTCCCCAAAAAATTCAAGACGCTCTGGATATGGATATAAGTACTGCCCGCAACAGAGCCCGCCTCCTGCCACTGAGGACATCACAACCCACCCCCACCCCCAGCCAGGACCTTCAATCCCGACCTGGTGAGCCAGAGGGTCCTGGTCGGGGGTGGGGTGTTTTTCTTCGGTTCTTGGGGGCAACCACCCTCGCCCCTGGCCAGGACCCCCTAGATCACCGGGTCGGGAGCTCCGAGAAAGTCCTGGCGGGGGATTTTGGGGCTGGATTGTGCTGCTCTCGCAGGCACCCGTGCTTTGTCATTGGCCAGCCCAAGCAGCATGCGGACGGGTGGCATGCGCACTGCCGCCCAGGCAGGGTCAAGCAACATCAATCGGATCGGAGCGGCATGCACATTGGGTCGGGCCGCACCAGGACAGCCGCAATGGCATCCGATGGGCTGCGCCAGGATGCGCAGCAGCGCTGTGCAGGCATCGGGCCACATCGGCTCGCCAGAACATCGAATCGAGTCGGATCTGGCCAGCTGGAGTCGGCATCGAACCAGAATGACCAGGCCTCCGAGGGCGCGCAAACATGGATTGGCGATCCATGGATCTGGCGCGCGGTGGCCAAATCCATGGATCGGGGGAGGTGCCCTCTCCAAAATGCGGCCGCTGCCGCCTCGCTCAGGGGCGGAAACCCGCGATTCCCCACGGAAACGGGACCCGTCGCTAATCCACGCCCCCTTGATCCATGCTTGCGTTAGGTCGGGCATGTCCCCCTACAGGCGGATTTTGGACGAAACATAAAAAAAAACTCACAAAATGCAACAAACAAAACAAGCTTCAAAAATAGTAAGACAACAAAATTGTCCCCCGACTATTAACTATTCTTGAATGCTCCTCCGGTAGAGGGACAGGCCCGACTTGATGCTTGCGATCGCCTGAAGATCAATACGGACCCGCACAGGGCGCACGGGGAGTTGCCGCGTGCCGCCGCCGCCTGGCCCGCTCCGCCGCCGCCGCCGCGCGCCACCCTGCAACGGGGGGGGCGCGCGGCGGCGAGCGGAGACGAGCTGGCCTCCGATGTACAGTCAGCCCGTATGAGCAGGATGCGCGGCAATGATGCGAGGGCCTCGGGAGGGCATCTCGAAGCTTTTCGAGCGGGGAGCGGCCAGCGGAAGCGGCCATGGATGGACCGAGGAGGCAAGGAAGCAAGGGTACCCTGAAGGAAGAGATTGCCCATCCTCAGCGTGCCGGTTGACTGTGCACGGCGACGCCCACGCACCGCGGTGCGCGCGCGGGACGGCGCGAACCTGGGCGAGGCGCCACAGCGCGTCGTGGCCGCCGTCGCGACCCCCAGGCACGCCTCTGCGGACAGGTTCCTGTCGGCGACTCCGGGGGGTCTGGCTGGCAGAGGGTGCGGTCCGCAGGAGGAGGAGGAGGAGGAGGAGGAGGAGGAGGAGGAGGAGGAGGAGCGAGGACCTTGACGGAGTCCTCCGCCGCGCCCCGACGAGGCCCGAGGAGGGCAGCGCGGTGCCCCCCCCCCCGAACCCCGGCGACGCAGAACGCGAGCCACACCCCCGCGCAAGCGCACCTTTTTTGGCAGTCGACGATGCTGTCCCCGATCGTGCCCCTGCGGACACGCTCCTGCTCCTCGCTCCACTGGCCATCGCTCGGACGTCCATTCCCTGTGTTTTTGTTCGGTTTCGTGCGTGGTTTTTTCGCTCTACCTCGTGATCGTCGGACCGACACGATCCTCGACTGGGGATGTGCGTCGCGCCATTTTGGCTGCGTCCTCCCTGCTTCCTGGGTGGCTGTTTCCCTTCAGACTCCCTGGGCAGCAGCTTGCACCGCCGCCTGATCCGCAGCCCCCGCGCGCGCCCGGCTAATTTGTCACGGCCGCAGCCCGACCGTGTCCCGCCGCCGCCGGCGCTTCCGCCTGCGGCTGTGAAAAAAAGCGTGTTTTTTTCGCCAAATGATCAAGGATATGCTCCTCGATGGCCCTCGCCGAGGACAAAACGCACACGTCCAAGCGATGCCAGGTCCACAGGAAGGTCGGGGGGGGCCCGAAAGCTTGCACTCCAGTGCGCACCTCGATTTGCACGTCGCCGGGACCGCCGCCGCCCCAAGAGCCTCCACTCTGCCATTCGGCGCGTCGAGCGCCGAGACTGTACGACGCATGGGGGACCTCCAAACACCCTGTCCGCAGGCGGGCCTGCTCCAGCCGTACCTGCTTGCTCCAGCCGTGGTCGACAAGCCGCGATTGGCCATGAGCCCGTGTGCATCGCAGCTGCCTCCTCCATCCTGCACGGTGCGCAGGCGCGGACCGCGGCAGCAGTGACTTCGCGCCGTCACCTCCAACTACGCAATGTGCCCCCGTCAGTCAACAACACGCTACAAGTAACATTGTTAACATTCAACACGGGCTCAGAGGGGAGGAGCGAGGCGGGAAGTCCATCCTCATCATCCACACCCTCGCCTTCCGTACCTGCCTCCATTCCCCCCCACACTCCATCTCTCTCTGCATCCCCCTCCTCCCTCCCCCGCTCCCACCGCGCCTGGTCACCCCCCTCTTCCTCCTCCTCCTCCTCCTCCTCCTCCTCCTGCTTATTCTGCGTATCTGTCATCGTCCCCTCATTCCCCCCGCCCAGTGTCTCTTTCACTCCCGCACGTGCCCGCGCTCAACTCCGCCCCGCCCGCCCCGTGAGGGAGGGCACCCGAGAAGCAGCGAACCTCTATGAGCCTCGGGCGCCGCGGACCTCTGAGAGCGTCCGGGAACGCTTTTTGATCGCGGGTCGGGAGCGCACCTCTTCCGGTCGAAGCTAAAGCGGGCCGCGCGAAGCTCGAATCAACAAAGAGGAGGGGAAGCGTCCAGGAACGCTCTGGAAAGGCTTTGAACGACGCGGCCCAGCCACGTCCGGTGTTCCGGAACGCTCCGGGACGGACTGGTCCCCGCCGTCCCAGCCCCGTGCGCTGTGCGCACGCCCGCCTCCTGCCCCACTCGGGCGGTCGCCCCCCCCCCCCCCCCCGGGAGGCGCGCGCGACGACGGCGCGGCGTGCTCTCGGTGGCCGGTTTTCCACCACCACCACCACCAGGAGGAGGGGGAAGGAGGAGGAGAGGAGAAGGAGGAGAGGAGGGGAGGAGGAGGGAGGAGGAGAGGAGGAGGAGGAGGAGGAGGAGGGAGGAGGAGGGAGGAGGATGCCCCCCTGCCCCTCCAACTTGTGGTGGTGGTGGTGGTGGAAAAGAAGCCCATCACAGGGGGGTCTCCCGCGGCGGAGGGATGCGAGGGCGGCGGCGCGCTCGGACAAAAAAAGCAGGCGCGCGCCCGCGGCAGCCGCGGGCTCCACCCGCACGCTCCATGTGCCCGGCACGCGGCTCGAGCACAAAAAAGTGGCACGTGACGCGTGGCAGCCGAGTACTGATATTGTACGACGTGCGCATCTCGCACAAAGGACCCCCTTTGCAAAGGACCCATTAGCTCCCTTTGCAAAGAGGCTCCGCCTCCTCTCCCTGCTCTTCCTCCTCCTCCTCCTCCTCCTCCTCCTCCTCCTCCTCCTCCTCCTCCTCCACCCCGTCCTCGTCCTCCCTCCTCCTCCTCGTCCACCTCCTCCTCCTCCTCGCTCCCCTCTCGCCTTTGCCCGGGTGCCGGCGGGCTGCGCAGGGCCCCCGCGCGCGCGCCCGAGCCGCCCTCTTTGCAAAGGACCCATTGCGCACATGTTCGAGGCCCCCTTTGCAAAGGACCCATTGGCCCGAATCCGACCCATCTGGTCATAGCGCCCTCTCCCAGAGCGACCATAGGACGGGATATCATCGCATGAGAAGATTGGCTCGAGATGCGCCCCGGGATTTCAAGAATCTCTAGCGGCCCTCGTCTCTGCAGCCCGTGTGGAACACTAGGGAACCCAGGATCGCCTGGAAAGTCTGGCAGCCTAACCATGACTCTTTGCTCCTCTCGGATCAAACAAACCACTTGTTTCCGTGACGTTGCAAAAGAAAATCTACTTCTGCCAAAAAATAGAAAACAACGCCATAAACATAAACTTTTGGCGCTCCGTGTGGGTTTCTTGGACCCGCGCTGGAAACCCCTCCGTGGCTCGCGGAGCACACCAGGGGCGGCGTCGGAGGCGCCGCCGGGGGGGTCCAGGGCGGATCCAAGAAATCTGCGCGGAGCGCCAAAGGTTTATGCTCTTCCCTCTTCGAACGACATCATCGGCACTCGTCGCGACACCTCCACACGGGGAGGGGAGGCGGCGAGGCCTCGCGAGACGCCCTCGCAACGAACGGGTGACACGGCGTGTGCAGGGGTGCCCGGCAAAAGGACGGCGGATAGTGCACGGCCCAGCGCCCTCTGCAGAGAGCCAGGCTGAGCCCCACCGAGACTGCGGCAGGGGCTCGACCACAAGAAACCGTCCACGAGAAGCCCAACCCTGAGACCCCAGGACGTCCATTCATTTTCGTGCTGGGGAATGGCACGCTCTCCGTCACAAAACCGTTGAAACCCAGGGCACCCTGGAGGCAAGCGGGGTGTTCTTGGCATGGGATTCCACCGTGTAGGGACCCCCTGTGGCACGCCTGGAGGTTCAGATCGGAGGAGGCCTGGCTGCTGCAGGGGGCTCTGGAAGCCACAGAGGTTTCCACTGGCTCGTGCACGAGATTGCCCCACTCGGTTCCGGGCAAAAGGGGGTCGTTCGTAGTGGGGCCACAAAACAAAGTGCAATAGCTCATCCTGTGACACATGACGCGTGGCAACCGCGTGCTGATATTGTACGACGTGCGCATCCCGCACGAAGGATTGCACGAACTATTGCGCACATGTTCGAGACCCCCTTTGCAAAGGACCCATTGGCCCGAATCCGACCCATCTGGTCATAGCGCCCTCTCCCAGAGCGACCATAGGACGGGATATCATCGCATGAGAAGGTTGGCTCAAGATGCGTCCCGGGATTTCAAGAATCTCTAGCGGCCCTCGTCTCTGCAGCCCGAGTGGAACATCAGGAAACCCAGGAAAGCCTGGAAAGTCTGGCAATCTTACCATGTTTCTCTGCTTCTCTCGGATCAAACAAACGTCTTGTTTTCGTGACTTTGCAGAGGAACATCTACTTCTAACAAACACAAGGAAACAAAAAACAACGCCATAGACAAACAAAAAAAAATGATGGTCGCTCCGCGCGGGTTTCTTGGATCTGCGCTGGATCCCCGTCCCTGGCGCGCGGAGCACACCAGGGGCGGCGCCGGAGGCGCCGCTGGGGGGGCCCCGCGCGGATCGGATCCAAGAGATCCGCGCGGGGCACCATAATGCTTGTGGCATTATTTCTTCTTCGGAGGAAGATCCGGACGGAGGGCCGCCGACGGCACGAGGGTCGGGGATGGACAGACCCCCATTTACTAAAACGTGGTTTAGTGAAAACGACCTGAGGCCCAAACCTGGCGGGCGCAAGCCTGGAACATAACGGCCACGGCGCCACCTCGAGAACCGAAAACGGACAATTCACTAATCGACGTGTCACTGTTGGGTGTTCTGTCCACCCCCGAAAGGGGACAACCTCGACAATGGGGCCCCCGTCCCTTCGCAGGCAGCCAGCGGCGCCTCCTCGGAGAGCGGCGTCGCCAGCGGAGAGCGCGGCGACGCCTGGGCGTCCTCGGGGCAGCGTCAAGCAGCGACCAAGTCGATTGCCTTCCATTAGTTAGGGCCGCCTGCTACATCAAACTCGGCTGCTGGGCTGGCATGAAGGGAGGAGGAGCATGGGTCGGAGCTTCGAGAATGAAGGACTTCCACGCACTCGCGAGAACAACAGGGTTCAGAAAATTACAGAGCACAGTCGAAAACCAAACACCCCGCTTATCACTTCGCGCTGTGCTTGGCAAGCGCCATCATGGTTATTCTGCTGCTCATCCCCCTCCTCCACAAGCGTCCAGCGACTGCACGTTGACCCAAGCGCACAGAGAGCAAGTAATAATACGCGAACGCAGCTCCGGGAATGGGAGCCCCCGCCCCGCATGCATCGGATCGAGATCACAGCCAGAGTCAGAAGTCCATCGCAAGCGCACATCAGAAGCCCCAACCTCCTGCGCACTCATCCGACTGGCGGCACAAGTCGGCCGCAGGGCGACGGACGCCCCTCCTGACTGTTAAGTCGGGCGTGTCCCCTAAAGGGGAATGTTGGACAAAAAAACAAACATATCCAAACTTATCCCAGTGCGACCCTGCCTAGGAGTTGGAGCATTTAGGAACGCAACATCTACATCTACACCGACAGCTATGGTATGTTATGCTAGGGTACGCTCGGCTGCGCTGTGCTATGCTAGGCTATGCTATACTAGGCTATGCTGCGCAATGATATGCTATGCTATGATGCGCTATGCTATGCTATGCTATGCTGCGCTATGCTATGCTAGGCTATGATATGAAATGCTATGCTGCGCTATGCTATGACATGATATGCTATGATATGCTGCGCTATTAAATGATATGGTATGCAATGATATGCTTTGCTATGCTCTGCTTTGCTGCGCTATGGTATGCTGCGCTGCGCTATGCTGCGCTGTGCTATGCTAAGCAATGGCATGATATGCTATGCTATGCTGCGCTATGGTATGCTCTGCTATGGTATGCGATGTGTTGCTGAGCTATGCTATGCTATGCTATGCTATGCTATGCTATGCTATGCTATGATTTGCTAATGCTGCGCTGCGCTATGCTGCGCTGCGCTGCGCTAAGCTAAGGTCAGCTAAACTATGATATGCTACGCTAAGCTAAGCTAAGCTAGGCTAGGCTAAGTTAAGCTAAGCTAAGCTAAGCCAAGCTAAGCTTAGTTAAGCTAAGCTAAGCCAAGCTAAGCCAAGCTAAGCCAAGCTAAGCTAGGCTAGGCTAAGCTGCGCTAAGCTAAGCTAAGCGAAGCTAAGATAAGCTAAGCTAAGCTATACTGAGATAAGCTAAGCTAAGCTAAGCTAAGCTAAGCTAAGCTAAGCTGGGTGAACCCAGGGGGCGCAACTGGGGGAACCGCGGGGCGTATGCCGGGGGAATCGCCCGGGGCGTTTTCCACTGCCCGGCCCTTTAAGCTAACCGAGTAAGAACCCTTCTAGGCAGAGCCTAGGTAGGGAAATACCCACCGAATGGGCAAAAGTAGTCAAAACATAGTCCCCAGACTATTTGTTTACTATGTTTGAATGTTCCCCCTGTAGAGGGACAGGCCCGACTTAACCTCAGTGGGCGCCCATGACGACGCCGCGGGCCCCACGCCCGGCAGGGGGGCCCCTCCCCTCGCCCACAGGGCCCCCAAGAGGCCGCGCGTGCACCACTCCCCCCTTGGCGAGGCCGCGGGATCGGGTGCTGCTGGACGTGCCCCTGGTGCCCCCAGCTCCTCCTCCTCCTCCTCCTCCTCCTCCTCCTCCTCGTCCTCCTCCTCCTCCTCCTCCTCCTCCACCTCCTCCTCCTCCTCATCCTGCTCCTCCGCCTCCGCCTCCGCCTCCGCCTCCGCCTCCGCCTCCGCCTCCGCCTCCGCCTCCGCCTCCGCCTCCGCCTCCGCCTCCGCCTCCTCCTCCTCCCTCCTCCTCCTCCTCCTCCTCCTCCATCTCTCCATCTCCTCATCTCCTCCATCTCCATCTCCCCATCTCCTCCATCTCCTCCTCTCCTCCTCCTCCTCCTCCTCCTCCTCCTCCTCCTCCTCCTCCTCCTCCGCCCCTCCCCCTCCCCCTCCCCCTCCTCCTCCTCCTCTCCTCCTCCTCCTCCTCCTCCTCCTCCTCCTCCTCCTCCTCCTCCTCCTCCTCCTCCTCCTCCTCCCCCATCTCATCCTCCTCCTCCTCCTCCCTGTCAACCTTGCATCCCCCGGGGCCCTCTGGAGGCAATGGGGGCCTGCTTGGAGACCTCGGACCCCGTCTGCTCGGACCCCATCTAGGACGCCTCTATAAACGTGGTGCTGGTTCAAGGTACCCCCAGCTTTTCGCTCAATAAGCCCTGGGGCCCGCTGGGCCGCGCGAGGGCTGCTCTACAGGCCGCGGGGGCCTCCGTGGAAATCCTGGGGGCACAATGGGCCATGAGCTCTACTGGCAGCACCCGACCGGAGGCCCCCGGCCTCCGCCTGCCAGGAGAAGGGGCGAGGAGCCACTGCGCCACCCAGCAGCGCTTGCTCGCCCCGCGCCAGCACGCTTGCTCGCCACGAGCCAGCCAGCGCGCCAGCGGCTCGACATGGATGCGCGTGAACGGACACCCCCACTCCGATGAAGGTTTCGGCATCGGCAGCGCTGCCCTGCCCACCGCTAGAGCTCACTCGCACCCAACACCGCAATAAATCACACTCCCACCTCCACTCAAAATGCAGCGCCTGGGCAAAATTACTTAGACAAGAGTTTAACACAGAGGTCTCCTCTGACGAATATCGTTCGTTTCTGCCAGGATCTGTCTTCGAAACGCGCACCAGCGTCTCTCATCATCCCTTCTCCACGTAATTAGATTCCTCCCCCTATGCTTGCTCCGCTCATCTTTCACTCGTCCCCATCCCTCTCTCCTCCTCCGCATCTCTCCCCTTCTCCTCATCCGCCTCATCATCCGCCCAACGCTCCTGCCCTCCGTCGCCCCACATTCCTCTTGCCTCCTCGTCCTCCTCCTGGACCTCCTCATCGGCCTCCTCCTCCGACTCATCTTTCAGTCGAGTCAAGATGCAAAGAAAAGCTTCGCCGGAGGGATCGTGTCCAGTTCCCGCGCACGAAGCCCCGCCACCACGGTCCTTCGTCCGCTGGATCCGCCGCACCGTGGATGGACTGATCCAGGGGTCCTCCTCACCGACGACTCCTCGAAAGAGTAGCGCAAGCCCTGCTGTCGCAAGTGTGACGCGGAAAAGGGCCACAAGGGTGGCGAAAGCCACAAAGCGGAGACAGAGGTTCCTGCAATTGGCACGCGCATGTTGGGCCTTTTGTTCGGTCGGCTGGGTCGGAAGCCTCACTTCGGCAGCTTGCGGGCGGTTGCCGTCTGGGGGGCCGCAGGAGGACGGAACGGGGAAGGCCGATGGTCAGTGCGCCTTCATGCTCTGCAAGCTCACGGTGCCCCCCTTGGCCATGCACATCGACTGCCAGGGAACGGGCGATAACATAGCTGCTGGCCCTGGGGCGGGCACGAACTCCAGCGACTCGAGGCTGCACTCGTGGGGGCGCATCTGGGGGAGCTTCCAGGCCGACGCCTTCCCACGCCCCGGTCTCGGATGTGGACGCAAGGCGGATCTCTTGGGCAGAACGGAACACCAATCTGCGCGCCGACACCCTCGCGAAAGAAATTTGGTTGCATCCTAGGGTGCCCTGTCTGTCACGCCGCGGCTCCGTCCGCATGGACTCCGTGCAGGACTCGTTGGATCCGCGCCGCATCCGCGCAGCATCCGCGCCACTTCCGCGCCGAGCCCTGCGTCGGGCACCTGGCGATGCAGCGAGAAGCCTCAGCGCAGGAGACGCCAGAGGGCTGAGCCGCAGGCACGGGACGCTCCCGAGGCGCCCGCCGCGCTCTCCAAACGAAGACCGCGCGCTCCGCCCCTTCGGAGCGCCTCCCCTGCGGACCGAGGGCGGCCTCATCGGCCGAGCTTCCCGCCCGGGGGGTGCATCGGCGGGCAGCCCCGGGGGGGGGGGGAGCGGGAAGGGGCGGGCCCTCTCGGAGGGCTCGGAAGCGGCCCTGCCTCCAGGGAGGCCTCCCGCGCCTCCCCCGAGGACGGGGAGGGACGGCCCCTCGGACGGCCCGCGGGCGTCCGAGAAGCCCCGCCGCCTGTTCTGAGAGGGCCTCCCCCCTCTGAGAAGCCCCGCCGCCTCCCGAGAATCATGTCCGGCCTGTCCCCCTACGGGGGGATTTCCGACGAACAATAAAAGATACCCCAAGAATGCCCCAACAAGGTCAAAACATACTCACAAAAATAGTCCCCAGGCTATCTTTGGATTGTATGTTTTGGTTGTGGTTTGGGTATTCTGTATTTTTCGTCGACAATCCCCCTGTAGAGTTTGGACGCCCGACATGGGTACCGAAAAAGTGGGTACGATGCCCAACAACAAATGTTGTCCCAAACCAACAGCGGCCGCTGTTGGGCAGGCGGCCTCCTGTCTCGAATGGACACAGGCCGCGGCGGCGTGGACAGCGAGGCCTGTTCAAAATGAACGGGAACTGCTGTTGGGCATTGTACCCATTCTTTCGGTACCCATTTCGGGCGTCCAGATAGGGGGACAGGCCCGACTTCACCCGAGGAGCCCCGCCGCCGTCTCGCCTCCCCCCCGCGCTCGCCGCCGCCTGGAGGCGCAGAGCCCGCCCGTGGCCACGGCGCCCAGCGGGCGCAGCCTCTCACGCGCCAGCCGCCCACGCGGGGCGAGAGCCCGCGTCGCCTCCTCCTCCTCCTCCTCCTCCTCCTCCTCCTCCTCCTCCTCCTCCTCCCTCCCTTTCCTCCCTCCTCCTCCTCCTCCTCCTCCTCCTCCTCCTCCTCCTCACCGTGTCGCCAACAACCACAACTCCTCCTCCTCCTTCTCCTCCTCCTCCTCCGCCTCCGCCTCCTCCTCCTCCTCCTCCTCCTCCTCCTCCTCCTCCTCCTCCTCCTCCTCCTCCTCCTCCTCCTCCTCCTCTCCCCTCCTCCTCCTCCTCCTCCCCCTCCTCCTCCTCGTCTCGGGGGAGGACGGCAGGCCGAGCCGCGGGCGCTCGGGGAGCGCCCGCGAGGGGAGGGGACCCCGCCGCCGACGGATGCAGAGAATCCACGGATCTGGGCGCCTTCGGTCGGGGACCTTCTGTCGGGGATGGACAGAACCCCCTTTAGTAAAACGTGGTTTAGTGAAAACGACCTGAGGCCCAAACCTGGCGGGCGCAAGCCTGGAAAATAACGGCCACGGCGCCCTCTCGAGAACCGAAAACGGACAATTCACTAATCGACGTGTCACTGTTGGGGGTTCTGTCCACCCCCGATTCTGGCCCGGGTCCATGCAGACTTTTTTGGTCTGCGGGTCAAGAGTGGGCCTCTTCCGGTTAAGGGCTAGGCGGGACGCGCAAAGCACTAATTGGGGAGACGGGGCGCGGGCGGGCGGGGCCTCAGGCGGCCGGAGGGCGCGGGGTGCAGGCGGTACCGAAGAGCTTGCACAGGAAAGGGTCAATGCAGACCCGGGTCCGCAGGGAACCAGAAGCTGCAGTGCAGGAAAACAAAAACACTGCAACGCCGAACTTCGCAAACCCGGGTCAGCCAATAATTAGGCGCGGCCGCCCCGTGGCCGCGAGCGGCTCGCTGACCCGGGTCAGCCAGAGGAGGTCTTCGCAGGATCCTGCAGGATCCTGCGAAGGGTCGCAGAGGGGGTCAGCCAGAGGGTCTGCCCTGGCTGACCCCCGTTTGCATTGACCCCCGTCTCTTGAGCCCCGATTCGGAGCAGTCCTCCTCCTTCCGTGTCTCCGCCCACCGCTATCTCCGCCCATCCCTCCGTGCCTTCGTCCCTGCTGCCTTCGCCGACTTCGCCTCTGGCCTGCACTTCCTCCTCCGTCTCTCCACTCCCCTCGTCGTTCGCCTCCACCTCCTCGCGACGTTGCGCGCTCTTCGCAGTCGTCCTCCCGCTTCTCTGGGTTCCTCCTCCACCTTCTCCCCTTCCTCCTCTCCCCTCCTCGCCTCTATCCTTGCCCTCGTTTGGTGACAAAGGAGCATCCTCTGCCGCTGCCGACGCGGTCCCGGCACGCGGAGAAATGCTTGGCCACATACCTTTCCGTGGCGACGACCTTGGAGACCACGCCTAGGAGATCGGGGGTGTTTCCACGAGCAGCGCAGAGTACAGGCAAGAGAAGTAAAGTGAGAGCAACATGGCCACATGCTGTTTAACTATATGTGTGTGTAACAAAGACGGTAGACATGTGTTATTGTGGACCCTTGGGAGAAAATTCACGGAGTTGCGCGGATCGAGGTTTGGTGGCGCGTACTGGGTAGTGCGGCGCTGTCAGCTACTGGCTTTGACTCTGGGAAGCTGGTTACATTGTCCTTGTCCTCCCCCGAATGCGCCCAATGCATTGGAGCGGGGATGGTCGTCGTCATCGATGGTGCTGTCGTTATCGTCGTCGTCGTCGGCATCGTCGTCGCCGCCGTCGTCACCGTCCTCGTCGTTGTCGTCGTCGTCCGTTTGCGTGTCACCGAAGGAGCAGCAACACTGGCAACCGAATTGAACACTCTGTTGAGAGTGCTAGTGCCTGAAAACGCTGGTGAGCACAACTTGAAACCACATCGTGCGCAGCATGCCGAAACATGTTGAGCCACACATTCATTCCTTAGCCACGCCATCATGATGTGCGCGTGCGGTGCGTGCCCGGCGGTCCGACGCCTGAGCATGTCCAACACGAAAGTCCGGCACACCCCACGCACACGATTGACCAACACCTCTGCATCACAGCACGTACAGTCATACCGGATACCAAGGATGCGCGATAAGGATGCAAGAGCCTTGGACGCCCATTTCGAAGCGTTTCGAGCGGGGCGCGGCCAACGAAAGTGTCCAAGGATGGACCCAGGAGGCAAAGATGCAAGGGTACCCTTAGGAAGGTTGCTCATCCTTACTATGCGGGTTGACTGCATTGGAGCGAAAAGTGCGCAAGTGGGGCGAACACATCTAAGATTCGCTTGGCGGAAAAGCGGCAATGCTCGTAGTGGGTGCGTCCGCATTCCATGAGCTTGAACTGTCGCACGCGGGGCTGCAAAACAAGTCCGAAGCAGCATGAAACTCATCGCCTCTGGGCGCTACTCCCCCGTGGTGGCGCGTATGCTTAAACTTATTAGGGGGGCAAGCGCAGTAACAGGGATGAGCGTAGGAGCAGGGCTAGGCGTAAGCGTAGTATCCTGCAGGCGTGTTAAGCCTAGGAAGAGGGGCAGACGTGAGACAGGCACGCGTGAGACTGGGCGCACGGGACGGAGTCCAGGCTGCCAGGCCGAGCGTGCCAGCGGGCCACCCCCCACCCCTTCCCCCTCCCATGACTAAGAAACGACACAGTGGGGGCCCGACCACAAGGAGACCTCTCGCAAGGAACCCAACCCTGAGACCCCAGAGCGTCCATCGAGTTTTGCTGTGGGAGCGTCACGAGTTCAGAGGCTAAACGATCAACACCCAAGAAACCCAGGGCACCCTGGAGGCAAGCGGGGTGTTTCTTGGCATGGGTCTCCACTGCAACATGAGAAGCGATAGTGGGACTGGAACGCGACCCTACCCAGCCAATCTAGTTCCTCCAGATTTCGGAATAAAAGGAGGGGGTCTCAACCCTCCCAGACGAGAAATTTTAGACCCCCCCAGACCATCCATGAAAGGGTGGCCTTTTGCCCAGACCCCCCCGAACCCTCCAAGACAGCTCAAATCAGACCCCCCCCCCAAATGTGACCCCCCCGACTTTATTATGGAATCCAGAGTACCCAACCAACGGAACACGTTCGCGCGCGATCCCTCTCCCGACGCCTCGGCGCACAAGGGGGGGGGGGCGGGGAAACCCTGGTGGCCGCCCGCACGGGCGGGGGCGGATCTGCCGAAGATCCTTGGGCGGCGCTGCGGCGAGATCACACTTTGGGCACCTGTCCATCACCCGCATTCTTGAGGGGCGCGGCGAAGATCGGGCGTTGGCAGAACTGGGCTTAGCGGAACCTGGTTTAGTGACTTGTACCGGGGGCGCCCCCCCCGTCCCAGTTCCACGAACCGGAACTGCCGTCACCCGAAGAACACCAGTTACGGCAAACATGGTCTGGTGAATCTGGCCAATTGCGGGGCCCCAGAGCCCTACCACTGACCGGGTCCCCTTACCCGGGGTCCTGGCTGTACCCGAGAAGAGGAAGCATGCGCTCCGCCGACACGGCACCGCCACTCTCCCGCGCAGACCGCGGGGCGCCCGGGCGAGGACCACACTCTGCCGCCCTCGCGCGGCCCCGCTCTTTTCGCTGCCCGGCGAGCCGGCGGGCGGGTTTCACGCGCCGCAGCTCCACGCGGGAAGGCCACCCTTGGAGGCCTAGAAATGGGCACCAACACCAACCCAGGGGGTTGCCTCCACATGGGGACGATGATCCTAGATTTCGGTGTTGGTGGCAATAGTTCGGTCACTTTGAAGCCAGATTATTACCGCCATCACCGAGATCGGGATCTTCTTCCCTCGGTAGATGCATACCGCCGATTTTGGTGTTGGTGTCAATCTCTAGGCCTGCGACACCCCCGCGCGAGATCTGCACCGACGCCTGGGCGAAGGCTCGGCGCCGCGGCGCGGGCGACCTCCTCGCCCGCTCGCGCGGGGACGGCCTGGAGAGCGGAGGGATGTGCGCCGCACCGGGGCGGGTCGGCTCCGCGCTCGGGCAGAGTGGGTGCGGCGACGAGGCGAGAGAGCTTCGCTGAAGGGGCCCCAGGACACACACGTAAATACACACAAATAAAACGATTCCCCATATTTCCATATATGTTCTGGGTTTTTGTCTTCCCCCCCACTTCACATATTTTCCCATATTTTCCTGGGGATCGACGAATAATTGTGTCTGTGTGTTTTTTTCCCTCCTGATTCGCGTGGCGTGCGCGCCCAGTCCCGTTCCGTCTGCCATGCTGTGGGGGCAGATGGCGACCTACCAGACCACCCCATCCCAACCCGAAGACGCGAATTTCGGGTTCGGGGGGGGGGTACTGTACGGGCTTCATCTGTGTTGTGTCCGTTCTTCCCGACCCCCCCCCACTGGGAATAGAAGGCAAATTGGGGCCTTCAGGTTGGGTTGGGGTGGTGGGGTGGGTGGTGAGCAGAGGAGCCATGTTGTGGCAGCAGAGGAGATCGACTATGACAACGACTGCATCTATTAGCGGCGGCACGTCCCAGCTGCTGCCGCGAATTCTTTGCAGCGTCAGCGCAACAACTTCCAAATGGAGAACAAAACCGTTGACTTTGTACCGTGCTGTGCCAAGTATGGTACAAAGGCCCAGATCTGGTGGCTGTCCGCCGGCTAGGTGGCAGAGGATGAGGATACACTGATGGGGAAAGGAGCAGGGCTGGTAGTGGGGATGGGAATTCCAATGAAAAGTAGAGTGAGAGTGGGAGTCGCAGAAATAGGAGCATCACATTTAGAGGCCTCCTAGATGGGGTCGGATGAGATGGTGTCGGAAGGTCGCGCCGCATTGCCGACACGTCGACGATGCATCGGCGATGCATCGGCGATGCACTGGCGATGCATCGGCGATGTCGGCGATGCATCGGCGACGTCGACGTGGAGCAAATCGGGCTACACATCGAGCCGCATCGCCGATGCAACGGGGATGCGGCGCGATGCATCGACGATGCGGCGCGATCCTCTGACTCCATCTACTCCGACCCCATCTAGGTGGCCTCGAGCTGAGATAATGAATTGTGAGGCCTGGGTAGAAATCGGTATGTGAGCAAGGTTACCAGGCGACTCCGTGCTGCACGCGCACCTACACGATGGGCAGCGGTCCGTGGGCTTACTGGGCGGGGCTCAGAACAACTTGCGATGGACCGCCACTGCACCCTCACTCGGGCACTGGGACCTATACATCACCAGAGACGGGTTGTTTTTCAATCCCAGGACTTTCTGATGGTCGGGACGACGTCGGGGTGGTGTGGCGTATACTTGTTCATTGGTGCCCCGGGAATAAAACAACGAAACATGTATTCACCGAGGTCCCGCATACACCAGGATCCGCTTCCCTGTGCAAAGTTCAGCGCAGTGCGGGAAAACGCGTGGGTGTACATAATTCGGTGCCCTACAGTGAAAGCGTAAAGTAAGGACGCGTGGTAAGGACGCAAGACCCTTGGAGGCCGAAGTTGAAGTATTCTGAGCGGCAGGCGGCCAAACCCCCAGGGAACCCTTAGAAACTGGCCTGCGAACATTGCTGGGGACGGGCCGCAGAGGCTGAGGCAGGCAAGGGTACCCTTGAACACATCGTTTGTCCTTACCATGCGCGTTGACTGTGCTTACCTCGCACGCAGGGCTGGAATATACCCAGCCGCGCTGCCCCTCGCAGGCTGCTGGCTGCAGCACCGCGCGGCCAGCCGCAAGGGCCAGGCAGGGGCCGCAAGGACCACCGAGCGCGCGGGTCGGCGGGGTCGTGCTCCTCTGCCGCTGCCGTGCGGGCTTGAGAGAGGCAGCGGAGTGGCGGGTGCTGCCGGGAGACGGAACCGCCTGCCAGGGGAGCACAGCGCGGCCCACAGACTCCTGCCACCTCGAGGCAGAGGAGACGAGGAAGATGGGGAGGAGGAGAAAAAACGGCGGAGACAGGCAGGAAGCCGGGGGAAGAGGGGGGAGAGGACGGACGAAGGGAGAGAAAGGACGGCGGAGGGAGAGGGGAGGACGGAGGGGAAGGGGGGAGGGAGAACAGACCATGGGACCCGAGCCCCCGGAAAACCCACTCCCTCGGAACCGCGGGGGAGGCAGACACCCGCTCGCGGGTACGATCGAAAGGGGTACGGTTAGGTCGGGCCTGTCCCCCTACAGGAGGATTTTCGACGAAAAATAATTTTTAAAAAATGCTCCAAAATGGCAACACAAATACTCAAAACATAGTCCCCAGACCATTTTTTGATTGTTATTTGACTATTGTTTGAATATTTGTATATTTGTCGTTGAAAATCCCCCTGTATGGGGGACAGGTCCGACTTAAAACATGGGGAGCGAACGCCGCCAGCGGCCCCTGTCCTTGTCGAGCAGGGATTCGCTGTCGGTGCCGCCGCCGACGTCGGGCGACGAGTC